TGCCCAGCCTTCGTCTTCAACGAAAGGCCAGTTAGGCACGGTGGCCCATCCGTGGCAGGGGAGGAGTTCACTTGTACTCGTGAAACTGTCCACAGAAACTTGATGAGGCCCACCCTGGGTCTCAGCGTACTTCTGGCCCTCAAGGAAATACGTGGTGCTGCCACAGCTTGCTTTGATACGTGGGGCCTCCCCTGTCACTGCCCAGCCCCCCTCCCCAACAGGAGGCCAGTGGGGCGCAAGCGCCCATCCGTGACAGGGGCAACCCTCACTTGAACTCACAATACTTGTATCAAGAAAATGATGATGACTCACTCCGCAGGACTTCGGCCAGTCGTGGAGGTACGCGGTGCTGCTGCAACTCGTGCTGGCAGCCTGGGGCCCACCAAGGGCCTCGGTAGGCCCCCTTGAAGTTTGTCACTCGGCAGCGGCAGCAGGTCGGCGTAGCGCTGCTGCTGGTCGCCTGCGCGCCCAGCCTCTGGCATGTGTCGCCTCCCGCTTCATGGCCGCCTTCTTCCGCTCTGCAATCTTGCGCCTGTAGGCCGCGGGCGTGCGCTGCCCTGGCCTGTTGAAGTAGTCCTGCTGCCACTTCCTCAGGTACTCTTTGTTCTCTGGCTTCGCGGACCACTTCCGATGGTTGGCCAACGTCTTCTTGTAGCGCTTCGCCCAAACATCCTTGCCATGAAGTCGTTCCTTCACTTCGTTTGCCTTCATGGTACGGTCCAGCCGCTTAGTACACGGTTCAAGCTTCAATTTGGCAATCGTTCTTTGTTTTCCACATCTCGTGCACGAGTAGCAAGTATCAGTTTGCCTCTTCGTCTGTCTGGTGGTCGCACTCGCTTCCAGCACATGGCAGACGTTCGGCTTAAAGTCAGGGTCGAGCTTGTCATACCACTCACAGTAGCGTAACCAAGCTCTCTGCCGTACTGCACGATTTCGCCCAGGTATAGCAAATTGTCGATTTGCTTCTCCTTGAGCTTCCTGCGTCTTCCCAGGGGGTGTGATCCCGACGCAGTAACGCCAATGAACCCTTGCCTCCTGAGCTCTTTCACAAGCTTGCTCTCGAGTTGGGAGCCAACCACAACTTGGACACTTCAAATGCGCTGACCGTGAGACATCCACCGGCGTGCATGGCCCCAAGTCCGCAGCTTCATCAGGAACAGCTTCAACAGGGCCTGCTGCTGATGCACTTGCTCTGGACTTACGTCGTGACTTGGGCGTGACACCTAATAAGGACCTCGCCCTCTTGACCTCAGACGTAGTGGATGCAGCTGAGATTCCAAAGAAGCTCCTCGCGGCATCCTCGTCGAAATCGTCGTCCTTGTGGCTGCTGGATGCTGCCACGCTTTTGCCTCCTCCCGTGAAGGCATCTGGGTATGGTAGGGCCGCTTCACACCATTGCTGAGCAACTTCTTTTGTGAGCGATGCTTTGGGGCGTAGCAGTTGGTAGTGCTGATCTTTCAACATGACCCATACCACTCTGCTGTACTTCTTGGGGCTCGTGTAAAGGGTCCACCTGCCCCCAGCGGTATCTGGATTGAATTTCCATATACGACGAATATCAACTTTTGCGGCAGTAGAAGTACACCTGGTTGTAAGAGAATCAGCCATTTTCCCACACGTTCCAATTCTTTGAATATCTGCGTCCGTAGCTCCGAACTTCTGCTTGTTCTTCTTCACCTCACCCGCCACCAGGAGACGCAAAGATTGCTGGACACGTCCTCCAGGGACCAGCTCGTTGGCGGGTACAGGCTTGTGTCCAGGCTTGAGCTCATGAAGACCAAGGCCCACGGCTATGTAAGCACAATCACCTTGCCCTCCGTTGTCTTGTACATCACAGTGCTCCTTCCACGGTGGGTCTGGAGCTGCTGCTCTCGCTTGTTTGGCCGCTCGAGCTCCAGCAGGGGCTGCTTCGGCTGGTCGACGATTCTGTTGGTCACCTTCGGTACCCTCAGCAGCAGCAGCAGGTGGCGCTGGAGACGGGTCGGGAGGTGCGTCATCATCTGGCTTTTCCTCATCCTGCGTGGCGAAAGTGACCTTGGGCGGCGCTACCCCCCACACACTCTGAGCTTTGACTCCTTGCGGTCGTTCACGATCCTTCCGCTGCGGTGGCTTCGCTGGTGTAACGATGACCCCGCTGCTGAAGTTGTAGGCCTTGTCATTATGCGAGCATGCTGCAGCAAGGTCGCCACGAAAAAACCATGTGCGTCGTCCCGTACGTGTCGGCGACGTCACATTCGTCCATCCTCTCTGGATTGCCCAGGCTGAAAGATCCTCGGGCGCTGTCCACTCCGCTGGTGCACGCTGGACCGCCCACCCCGGGAGGAGATCCGATCCAACTTGCTTCTCACTGAGCACCCCAAGGGGCGCATCATCACTTGGGCGATACAAGAGGCGGCCTGTCACCGTGGCCGCTGCTGCAACCACTCTGTTCCAGCACTCGTCAATGGACTCGTCCTGCCTCTGCTTGAACCACCGCGGCATAATCTTGGACTGCTGGTAGTTGCAGAAGACCCCTTTCGGGAGCTTCTCCTCCAGGAACTTTGGTATGGCGTCGGTCTTGATGATCAGCAGCATTGTGATCTCACTTTCATAATTCAAGGCTCCCTTTGTGCGAACAATATGTCTACATAACTCAGCATTGAACACAATAGACGGGAGGCTGGCTGGCTTCTGCGACGCTCGTCCGAAAACATCGTCGTCAGCAAAGTTCTTGGCACACGTCAATCTCATCACCGTAGTGGGGGACCTCGGGGCCTGATATTCATCATCATCTTTGACTCCTTGCGGTAATCCTTGGCGCTTGGGCGCGCCGTGTGTTTTGAAATGTGCCAACATATCGTCTACCCATCTTTTCTTCTGCCGCCCTTGTCGTCGATGCGCGTGGTGAGGAAGCACTTGGTCTGGATGCCATAGCAAGACAAGATTCGCCCATTCTGCCCCAGAAAGACCAGCAATGCGGGATACCCATCTCCAGCGTCGTCGTTGGACATCTGTAACACAATCCGCGGCGCCCAGTTTCGCCAGTTGATGTTCGGCGTAATGCGTGGATCGACGTATCCAATGAGCTGTTGCCCTGTGGCGGTGAAAACTGTGTGGTATAGTCTATGTACTGTCGGCTATGTCGTGTAAGCTCTCGTGGTGTGAGCCATGGAGGTGAAGGCTAGGACCTAGCTGGTGTTAGCCATGTAGTGTAACGTGTGTGGTGGGAGCTGGAGATGAACACTACGCGGCGCAAGCTGCGTGGTGTGACAGATGTGGTGGGCCTGCAGTGCAGGCTGCGTGGCGCAAGCCGTGCAGCGTGGGCGACGTGCGAGCTGCTTGGCGCAGGGTGCGCGGTGTAAGCTCAGCGCACGGGGCGCGCGCGAGGCGCCCGCGAGGCGGCCACGCGGCAGCACGGGCGGCAGCGGTGGCGCGACCTCGGCGGGCGCCCAGCCCAGCGCGAGGGGGGGCGCCCGCGCACGCCCACGAGGCGGCGCGCGACGGCCAAGGGAGCAATCCCCGGCGGGCCCGTCCAATCACTCGAGGAACTTACGCAGGACCCTCCGAATGCCAGCACCGTTTGGGGGCAGGCCTGCCTTCTCGGCTTGGCACATGTCGTGCGCGGCGGCGTTCTCACGGATCAGGCTTGAAGGCGTTTGCAGGGCTGGTGGTCGTTCATTGCTGTGGCGTACCGTCCCATCGGTTGTGGTTCTGGAGTTTCGCTGGTGTTCCTTCAACGCGCAGCGTTGTTCGAAGCTGCTCGGTTGATGTCCACCGCACATTCTAGCAGCCTGCATGTGTAGCAAAGGCCAATACTGGGCGACACCCTGAAGTAACCCAAATCGCCCTGAGCATGTGGTGTCCCGTTCCTCCTCCTGGAGGGCTGAACTCAAAACCACCCCTTCACACTACAAGAGCCAGGGAGCAGGATGAGGAGGAGGAGGAGGAGGAAGAACAGGACTCTGAACTCTGGGCTGAGGGGGCACCACTGTCTCGACTCAGCTGCTTGAAGGCCCCTGCAACTCTACTATCGAGCACGAGGAGGAGGAGGAGGGCCAGTGCAAACTGAAGACTTTGGGATACTCCCTCCGAGCTCCCTCTTCATGTGTCCGATACAAGGATTCACTTCCACTGAGGGGCGTGCCCTGTTGGGAGACAGCCGTGTAAAAATTCGGACGAGTGCCAAAACACAACTCTGAGGACTTCAACGCCACCGATTAACCTGACTGTTGCTTGTGGACGATCCTGAATCGTGTCGGAACGCCATTCCTGGGACTTCAACACCGCGAATCAACGCAACTGTTGCGCCCTGACAATCTTGAACCGTTCGAAAAACACCACTTCTGGAAAGTTAGCCCTCAGACTCTGCGAACCCGTGCAAATATTTAAACCGAATGTTCGCGGCGCTAATGCGAGAAACACATGTTGAAAAAAAAACAAACCCTCAATCCGTCAAAATCTGGCAATTGTTTGACATGTGTGTGCGCGGCGCTGCGGCGAGAGCCACCTTTTGAAAACGGCCCGGAGGAGGAGGAGGAGGGCCCCTGAAACTCCACTATCAAGTGCCAGGAGAAGGAGGTAGGCGGAGGAGGAGGAGGAGGAGGAGGAGGAGGAGGAGGAAGAGGAAGAGGAAGAGGAAGAGGAAGAGGAGGAGGAGGAGGAGGAGGAGGAGGAGGGGAGGAGGAGGAGGAGTGAGGGAGGGAGGGAGGAGGAGGAGGAGGGAGGAGGAGGAGAGGAGGAGGGAGGAGGATGAGGAGAGGAGGAGGAGGAGGAAGAGGAGGAGGAGGAGAGAGGAGGAGAGGAGGAGGAGGAGGGAGGAGGAGGAGGAGGGAGGAAGGAGGAGGATGAGGAGAGGAGGAGGAGGAGGAGGAGGAAGAGGAGGAGGAGGAGGAGGAGGAGGAGGAGGAGGAATGAGAGGATGAGGATGAGGAGGAGGGAGGCAGGGAAGGAGAAGGAGGAAGGAGGGAAGATGGGGAAGAGGGGGCGGCAGAGAGGGCCGGTCAAGAGGCTCGTCTCGCGGCCTCGATATGGACGATCGCGGGCAGGAGGTACGCGAGCCGCTTGCCGGTGCCGATGGGCGACTGGCCGCGGGGCAGCGCTGGCCACCCTTTCCCTCTCTCTCTCTCGATCGAGTGCTGAGCTGGCGAGCCTCTTTCCCCTCCCTCCCTCCCTCTCTCTCCCTCCCTCTCGCTCCCTCCCTGCCTATCCCTATCCCTCCGTCCCTCCGTCTCTCCCTCTCTCCTTCTCTCCCTCTCTCCCTCTCTTCGGGGAGGAGGCGGCGGCGAGGGGGAAGAGGAGGGGGGGGTAGGGGGAGGAGACGGAGGAGAGGGAAGAAAGGAAGGCTCGGAGCAGGATGAATACGAACAGGAGGACGAGCGAGATCGGCCCGCGAGGGGGGAGGTCCAAGAGGATCAGGACACCACACAAGGTGCAGCCCATCGGAGAGGATCTTTGTGCACACCCGTGGAGGGAGCCGTTCCGCAGGCGGCCAACGACTGGGCGCACCCCGAGAGAGGAACGAACATAGAGGAGGCAACAACACTTTAGAGAGTTTGCGAATGGTTAGAAAAAAGGGCTCTACTGCTGGGCTCCGCCCGGCCAGCGCTGCTAACCGATGGTCGCGTCGGAGCAGCCGTACTGCATAATGCCATAAGCCGTGGTAAGCCGTACTGTAAGCGTCTTAAGCAAATCAACAGAAGCAATGATGCCGTGGGGGGATGGGGAGCCCTGCCAGAAGCCCAATCACTGCAGACCGTCCCCAAGGAGGTAACAGTTAGAGGGGAGAGGGACGAACATGAGGAGAGGTTCGGACCTGGGGCAGCATAAAATGCGTCGAAGGGTACCTCCCCTCGTGCAGCCACGAGCCTGGCGAGCCTGGGCCAACACGACCTGAAGTGCAACGAGCAGGGGGAGGAAGAGGAGGAGGAGGAGTACAAGAGGACAAACAGGGGAGGGGTAGGGAGAGAGGGAGAGGGGGACAGGAAGCGGAGGGGAGGGAGAGGCTGAGGTGGGAAAGAGGAGGAGGAGGAGGAGGAGGAGGAGGAGGAGGAGGAGGAGGGGCAGAAGGCCGCCGCTCTTAGCTTCGGAAGCTGGCTTGGCCACCAAGGATGCATGTGCGTTCGCCCGTTGACCGAGGAGGACCCAACCATCCTGTGGTGTTGGGTCCTCGTTTTGAAGAAACGGTCCCCGCGTTCTCCTCCTCTCCTCCTCCCCCCCTCCTGCTACCGTCCGCATGCGTCCCGCACACCCAGTACAGCGTTTCGTGGCCCTCCTCCCCCTCCTCCCTGCGTTTCACCCACCCAGTACAGCGTTTCGTGGCCCCGTAGGGAGCTCCACCGAAGGTCCCAGTGCTACCGTCCGCATGCGTCCCGCACACCCAGTACAGCGTTTCGTGGCCCCACCGCACCCAGTACAGCGTTTCGTGGCCCCATAGGGAGCTCCACCGAAGGTCCCAGTGCTACCGTCCGCATGCGTCCCGCACACCCAGTACAAGGTTTCGTGGCCCTCCTCCCCCTCCTCCCTGCGTTTCACCCACCCAGTACAGCGCTTCGTGGCCCCATAGGGAGCCCCACCGAAGGTCTCAGTGCTACCGTCCTCATGCGTCCCGCGCACCCAGTACAGCGCTTCGTGGCCCCATAGGGAGCCTCACCGAGGGTCCCAGTGCCACCGTCCGCATGCGTCCCGCACACCCAGTACAGCGTTTCGTGGCCCTCCTCCCACTTCCTGCGTTTCGCCCACCACCCAGTAAAGCGTTTCGTAGCCTCATAGGGAGCTCCACCGAAGGCCCCAATGCCCCCGTCCGCATGCGTCCCGGAAGCCCAATTTGGCATTTTCACCCACCCAGTGCAGCGCTTCGTGGCCCCATAAGGGGGCTCCACCCAAGGCCCCAGTGCCACCGTCCGTATGCGTCCAGGAAGTGTAATCCCACCAGCCCTTTAGGGCGTAGGTGGTCTAGAGCGTTTCCTCTGCCAACCCCCCTTCTTTCCCTTCGGGGAGGGGTTTACCCCTCCCCTTACCCCTCCCCACTGACCTGGACGGGGCGTTCCGCGACGCGTTGGGACGCCCAAGATGGCCCAAGACTGCTCCAAGAGCGAAAAGGCGAGAAAGCACAAAACATTGATTTTCCTTAGGTTTTGGAAGGATTTTGGCCTCTTGGGGGGGCCCAAGAGGCGATCCGAGGCACTCTAGAGGGGCGAGGCTAATTGAGGCTCCCCCCTTCTTTGATATATATTCCCAACATGGCCCCAAGAGCGCCCCGAAGGCTCCCAAGAGCGCCCCAAGAGCGCCCCAAGAGCGCCCCAAGAGGGCCCCAAGAGGCGCCCAAGATGCCTCCAAGAGGCTCCCAAGAGACTCCCAAGAGGCCCCAAGAGAATCCAATATGGCCCAAGACGGCTCCAAGAGCGAAAAGGCGAGAAAGCAAAAAACAATGATTTTCTGTAGGTTTTGGACGGGTTTTGGCTTCTTGGGGGGGGGCCCAAGAGGCGACTCGAGGCACTCTAGAGGGGCGGGGCTAATTAAAGCTCCACCCTTCTTTGATAGATCTCCTCCAAGATGGCGCCATGAGCACCCCGAAGGCACCCAAGAGCGCCCCAAGAGCGCCCCAAGAGAACCCCAAGAGGCTCCAAGAGACGCCAAGAGGCGCCCAAGAGGCCTCCAAAAGGCTCCCAAGAGACCCCCAAGAGGCCCCAAGAGGCTCCCAAGATGGCCCAAGAAGGCTCCAAGAGCGAAAATGCGAGAAAGCAAAAAACATTGATTTTCCATAGGTTTTGTAAGGATTTTGGCCTCTTGGGGAGCCCAAGAGGCGACTCGAGGCACTCTAGAGGGGCAGCGCTAATTGGGGACCCCCCCTTCTTTGATAGATCTCCTCTAAGATGGCCCCAAGAGCGCCTCGAAGGCTCCCAAGAGCGCCCCAAGAGCGCCCCAAGAGGGCCCCAAGAGGCCCCAAGAGGCCCCCAAGAGGCCTCCAAGATGCCTCCAAGAACCCCCAAGAGGCCACAAGAGGCTCCCCGAGATACGCAAGAGGCCCCCGGGACCGCCAAGAGGCCCCAAAGACGGCCCAAGAGGCCCCCAAGCTCGCCATTGTCCTCCTCCTCCTCCTCTTTTTCTTCCTCCTCCCTCCTCCCCCTCCCCCTCCTCCTCCTCCTCCTCCTCCTCCTTTTCCTTTTCCTCCTTCTCGTCCTCCTCGTCCTCGCAGTCCTCCATATCCTCCTCCTTATCCTCCTTCTCCTCCTCCGCTTGCTCCTCCTCGCGCTCCTCCTCCTACTCCTCCTCTTCCTCCTCCTACTCCGACGACGACGGCTCCTCCTACATCCTCCCCCTCTTGGGGGATATGGCGGCTCACCCCGCCCTTTGTTCTTCTGCATGCTCCCCCGCTCGCCCCAAGAGGGGCCCCAAGAAACTCCAAGAAGCGCCCCAGAGGCTTCCAGGATGATCCCAAGAGACTCCCAAGATGCCAAAATCCATCCAAAACTCTGCAAATCAACGTTTTTGGCTTTCTCGCTTTTTCGCTTCCGATGGCCATCCGAGGCCTGAAGATGGCTCCAAGATGGCCCAAGAAGGCACCAAGAGAAGCCGAAGAGAGCTCCAAGACGGCCCCAAGAGCGCCCAGGAGCGCTCCAAGATTGCCCCAAGAGCGCCCCAAGAGCGCCCCAAGAAGGCCCCAAGAGGCCCCAAGAGGCCCCCAAGATGCCCCCAAGAGGCTCCCAAGAGATCCCCAAGAGGCCTAAATATGCTCCCAAGATGGCCCAAGACGGCTCCAAGAGCGAAAAGGCGAGAAAGCAAAAAACATTGATTTTCCTTAGGTTTTGGACGGAATTTGGCCTCTAGGAAGGCCCAAGAGGCGATTCGAGGCACTCTAGAGGGGCAACGCTAATAAGCAACCCCCCCTTCTTTGATAGATCTCCTCCAAGATGGCCCCAAGAGCGCCCCGAAAGCTCCCAAGAGCGCCCCAAGAGCGCCCCAAGAGGCCCCAAGAGGCCCCCAAGAGGCCTCCAAGAGGCCTCCAAGAGACTCCCAAAAGGCCACAAGAAGCTCCCCGAGATACGCAAGAGGCCTCCGGGACCGCCAAGAGGCCCCAAAGACGGCCCAAGAGGCCCCCAAGCTCGCCATTGTCCTCCTCCTCCTCCTCTTTTTCTCCCTCCTCCCTCCTCCCCCTCCCCCTCCTCCTCCTCCTCCTTCTCCTCCTCCTCCTCCTCCTTCTCGTCCTCCTCGTCCTCGCCCTCCTCCATCTCCTCCTCCTCATCTTCCTCCTCCTCCTCCTCCTCCTCCTCCTCCCCCTCCTCCTCCTGCTCCTCCTCCTGCTCCTCGTCTTCCTCCTCCTACTCCGACGACGACGACTCCTCCTACATCCTCCCCCTCTTGGGGCGTATGGCGGCTCAACCCGCTCTTTGTTCTTCTGCATGCTCCCCCGCTTCCCTCATCACCTCCACTCCCCTGGGGCTCATTTCTGGACGGGCTGGTGGGGATACGCGAAGCGTCTAGAATTTGGCATTTTCACCCGCGCAGTGCAGCGCTTCGTGGCCCCATAGGGGGCTCCACCGAAGCCCCCAGTGGGACCGTCCGCATGCGTCCCGGTAATCCAATTTCGCATTTTCACTCACTCAGTAAAGCGCTTCGTGGCCCCATAGGGAGCTCCACCGAAGCCCCCAGTGGGACCGTCCGCATGCGTCCCGGAAACCCGATTCGGCACACCACCCACACAGTACAGCGTTCCCCCCCGCCCAGTGCAGCGCTTCGTGGCCCCATAGGGAGCTTCACCGCAGCAGATATTCACAATTACGGTGCCCACAACTGCATATGATTGGGACCTTCGCCAAGATAATTTTTCTCCTCCTCCTCCTCCTCCTCCTCCTCCTCCTCCTCCTCCTCCTCCTCCATCTCCTCCTCCTCCTCCTCCTCCTCCTCCTCCTCCTCCCCTCCTCCTCCTCCTCCTCCTCCTCTTCCTTCTCCTCCATCTCCTCCTCCTCCTCCTCCTCCTCCTCCTCCTCCTCCTCCTCCTCCTCCTCCTCCTCCTCCTCCTCCTCCCCCTCCTCCCCCTCCTCCTCCTCCTCCTCCTCCCCCCCCCCCGCCCCGCCAGGGAGGCCGACGCCGCAGCCCCGCCGGGCCTCCGCCCCCCCAGGCCTCGCGGGTCCCCCCCCCCCCCCGACGGGCGGGGCGGGCGGCGCCGAGGCGCGCAGGTCGCAGCCCCGCAGCGCGAGCGGCAGGGCCTGTGCCTGGGGCGACGGCGCGCCGCGGCCCCCCGCGCGGTTGTTTTCGGGCGGGTGGCAAGGGGGGGGGACAATTTTCGGCCGATATTTCTGTACTCGTTCGAAAACCGGCATTCGAAAACCGGCATTCGGAGGCAGTGTGGCTGAGGTCAGCGGGCGGGCGGGTGGTAGTGGGGGGTGGCCCAAGCGGGGGGTGAAGAGAAGGGCCCGAAAGGGGCCCGTCAGGACCCCTCTTGGGCCCCTGCTGGCGCCCAAAGGCGCCCCAGAGGAGACCTTCAGGGCCTTTTTCAGGGTCATTTTCATACCCCCCAAATCGGAGATTTCGCAGGGGGGGGAATCTGCCACTGAGACGGGGTATGTCGAGTCATGCACCTTCTGGTGCGTGGGGTTCGTGTGTTTCGGTGTGCCAGGGGCCTCATGGCTTCGGGGGCTCTCACGAGAGCGGCGGATTTCTTTCGGGCGGGTTGTACTGGGGGGTGGCCCAAGTGGGGGGTGAAGAGAAGGGGCCCTAAGGGGCCCTTTGGGGCCCCTTCTGGGCCCCTCTGCTGGCGCTAAAGGGGCCCTGAAGGAGCCGTTCAAGGCCTTTCTCTTGACCCCACACTTGGGCCACCCCCCATTGCCACCCGCAGGATATTTCTGTACTCATTCAAAAACCGGCATCCGAATGACTCAAGAGCCCTTTTCTAAACAGATTTCGAACAATCAGTCTAAGCACGCGGAGGCAGTGTGGGAGGTCAGCCCACTCGAAGGATAAACCAAAGGTCTAACTCTTACTCCATCTGTAGGCAGCACCCGCAGGGAAGCTGGAAAGGCAAGGCCACCAATGAGACAATCAGCGCAAGAGCAAGCGGCAAGCCTGCGCCTCGTCGACGTGCAGCAAACCAATCCCCCCCCTCCACAACAAGGGCTGGCAGGCGCCCCCCTTGCCGTCGCTCGGACGTCCATTTCCCGTGCAGTTCTCGGTTTCGTGCGCGTCTTTTTGCCCGATGGTCCAGGCGGGTCCTGGCTGGTCCTCGCCGAGACAACGTGCACACGTCCGAGCACTGCCAGGCCCAGGATCGAGGAGCGAGGGCTCGGGCGCTCCTTGTTGGGGAGGGGGGGGGGGGCAGCTCGGCGTGGGGTGTGTGGGGGGGGGGGGATCTAGGGCTGCAGGAAAGTGGCCCCGTGGGCGCACCGCTCTTCGTCCTCCCGCGGCCTGCACCGCCCAGCCCACCCCCTCCCCGCGACTCCAGATCCGCCGTGCTTTGGCTGATCGGCCTGCTTCGGCTCGTGTCGGAGATGCACCCCAGACGGTGCGAACAGCTGGGGCGGAAGTTTCCCGCCTCGGAGAAGCAGGGCGGATACTTCCGCAGAGGGACGGCGGGAACAGCGGCGGCAGGGACGTCGACACTAAAGGAGCGACACCAAAGGAGCGACAAGCAGTGCGGAAACGTCCGCCGTGCCTGCAAGATCGCCCAGAGCACGGCGGATCTGAAGTCAGGGAGGGGATCGAGGATAACGGATCCGTCGAGGATCGAGGATCGAGGATCGAAGGCCGAAACCGTCGAGGATCGAAGGTCGAAATTTTCGACGAGGACCGAAATTCTCGCCGAGGGTCGAGGGCCCGTCGGGGATCCGAGGGTCGAGGGCCGACCGCCCGGCCTCTCGTGCACGATCGGAGATGGAAGCCTGCGCCGAAGACCGCCCCCTATGTCGCCCCCCGAGGCCCCCCGCGGCCGGCAGACAGCCACCCAGGTCGAAGCTCCGGCTCTGGGGCTCTCCCCGAGGCCTCTCGCGCACGGTCGGAGATGGAAGCCTGCGCCGACGACCGCCCCCGAGTCGCCCACCCCCAGTTGAGCAGGGACCGACCGTCCCCGCAGTCCTAGTAGGCCTGCCACGACATGTTCTTAGAACCCAGAAGCGTTCAAATAATAAAAAACAGCCTTCTCAGAACAGCAGCCCGCTGTGTGGAAACAAGACGGTCCCAGCCAGACCTGTTCTGAGAACATTGCGTGCAGACCACGAAAGGTTCCTGGAGCATTCTTTGGTGGACCTCTCGGGTCGGGCGAAAGAGGGGATTAGCAAAGGAGGGGTTTGATAATCAGCTCACGTTGCTGATTTTCCCAGCGCCTCCCGGCGCCGGGAGGCGCCCATGTATCGAGGATTGGGCCCGGCGGCGGGGCCGAAACCAGCTGGTATGTAGCAGATTTCGTACCCCCCCCCCTTTCCCTATCCCCCCCTTTCCCTATTCCCCCCTTTCCCTAATTATCCCCCCCTTTCCCTATCCCCCCCTTTCCCTATCCCCCCCGTTCCCTATCCCTCCCTTTCCCTTCCCCTATCCCCCCCCCTTTCCTTCGGCCCGAGCTCCTGCGCGAGCCGGGACGCTTTTCGCCACCGCTCGACCCAGGCCCCCCCCCCGCGGCCGCTGGACGGCGCTCCCGGGGAGGACCTCCGGCTCTGGGGCTTTGCCTGTCCGCCGGCCTGCTCCACCTCGGCTGCACGTGAGGAGCGACCCCGGGCAAGAGCGGCCTCTTTGGTGCGCGGCCTTCTGGGGGGCGCGGGGAGGCCAGACACGAGCGCGCAGGACGCTGCTGTCGCAACGAGCGCGGCGATCGGGGGCCCCAGGGACCGCGCACCAGAGGTCACTCCGGCGAGGGGTCACTCTCACGTGTGGTCGATCCACCCCGCATGTGCGAGCGGCGGGGGCTGTGCCCGCCCGCCGCCCCCCCCCCCGACGCCCCCGCGGCGGAGCAGAGGCAGTCGCGCTGGATAAGCAGGGCGCGTCGGCGCAGCTTCCCCCCAAAGCGCTGCGCAGACGTGCCCCGATCGCCCGACGTCCTCCTCGCCCTGCTTCTTCTCCTGCCCCTCGGAAGGCCCAAGAAGGGGGGAAGAATGCGCGAAACAGAACCCCCGAAATTAACCCGAACTGGTTTGAACCGGAACCGGTCGATTTGCCAACCGGACCAGAACGAACCTGAACCAGAGCGCTGCAAATCGAACCGAATCGAATCGCCTCTTCCCTTTTCTGTCAGCAACCTGGGTCGCCCAGCTTCGCGCATCGCGCCCCGCGATGCGCGACTAACTACCCTCCCGCCCTCACGACGCCGCCTTGAGACGGGCAGCTCCACGGCCCAGACCGCGAAGCGGCAAGCGCCATGATCTTCCCGCCCCCTAGGGGCGACCTAGAGCATCGGGCTAACGTTCTGCCCCTTGCGGGGCTCCTCCAGGCCAGACGGGCTACTGGCTGGGGATGCGCATGCAAAAAGGCTCAGGAGCGTTCTCCCCCCCTCTCTCGCTCTCCCTTCTCGTCCTCCGCCTCCTCCGCCTGCGCCCTGATTTGCCTGTTTCGCCTCCGACGAGGAGGCCTCCCGCCAAAGTGTGGCATGCCACTTCCTGATCAGTAATGTCGCATGTACAGCATGGACTGCTACGAAGTTCAAGCGAGCTGGCCTGACCAGGACTCCGCCGATCGCCCAACCAGCCGTTCGCATCTGGCCGCCGTCCTCCGCCGTCCTCCGCCTCCGCCACCGTCTCCCTGGTCGACCTCGCTCCTCCCTCTCCGCCTCCGCCGCCGCCTCCCTGTCGTCGTGGCCGCCCTCTCCTGCGCCTCCTCCTCCTCCCCCTCCTCCTCCTCCTCCTCCTCCTCCTCCTCTCCTCGTCGCCACCTGCTCGCCCGCCACCTCCTCGTCTCTGCTTGCGCATCGCAAAAGGGAAACTATTTGGGGGATCGGACACCCCAGCCAGCGGATAGCACTTACTTAATTGAACGCAGGGACGGATGAGCTGGAAGGGTCAGATGTCATACAAACACACACTAGATGGCGGGAGGGCGCTACCTGTCTCTCTCTCTCTCTCACTCTCTCTCTCTCTATCTCTGTCTCTCTATAGATGTATATCCTCCTCCTCCTCCTCCTCCTCCTCCTCCTCCTCCTCCTCCTCCTCCTCCTCCTCCTCCTCCCTCCCCTCCTCCTCTCCTCCTCCCCTCCTCCCTCCCTCCTCCTCCTCCTCCTCCTCCTCCCTCCTCTTCTCTCCTCCTCCTCCTCCTCCCTCCTCCTCCTGCTCCTCCTCCTCCTCCTCTCCTCCTCCTTCTCCTCCTCCTTCCCCTCCTCCTCCTTCCTCCTCCTCCCTCCTCCTCCTCCTCCTCCTCCTCCTCCTCCTCCTCCTACTCCTCCTCCTCCTCCATTTTCTCCTCCTCCTCCTCCTCCTCCGCCTCCTCCTCCTCCTTCTCCTCCTCCTCGTCCTCCTCCTCCTCCTCCTCCTCCTCCTCTTCCTCCTCCCTCTCCTCCTCCTCCTCCCCATCTTCCTCCTCCTCCTCCTCCTCTCCTCCTCCTCCTCCTCCTTCTCCTCCTCCTCCTCCTCCTCTTGCTTGGCCCTCCCATGGCCCAGCGTGCGAAGTGGAAGGGCTGACGCTGGGCCTGGCCACGCAGCCCCCTTTGGTGCTCTCGCACGCTTGGGCCCTCGGCCTGGCCTTCCCTTCGCAGGCGGTCCAGGTTCTTGGGGCCGCGCTCGGCCGAAGAGGAGGAGGAGGAGGAGGAGGAGGAGGAGGAGGAGGAGGAGGAGGAGGAGAAGGAGGAGGAGGAGGAGGAGGAGGAGAGGAGGAGGAGGAGGGAGAGGAGGAGGAGGAGGGGAGGAGGAGGAGAGGAGGAGGAGGAGGAGGAGGAGGAGGAGGAGGAGGAGGAGGCGGAGTAGAAGAGAGCAGCCACGTCCGCCAGTCGGGGATCCAGCGCTGCCCCTGACGGCGGGATGCTCAGGCCGGCCACGAAGAAGCGGCAGCAGGCGGGTCAGCGCCACGACGAGTCCCTCGTGCTTCCAGGGTGTTCTCCTCGCCCCCTGGCGCCCTGCTCGACCACGCCTGGCTTTCGGGGCATGGCTCGGCTCTCCGGCGCTGCGGCGGCCGTTTTCGGGACGACCCTTGGCGCCCCCTGAACGCTCTCGGCGAGGCGCAGCTGCCGAAGCGCATCCCGAGGCAGAACAGACGCCGAGAGCCGACGAAACCGCCCGAACACCTCGAACCTCGACCGCCGTCGATCGAACAAGAAACAAGAAGAGCGGCTCGCCGGCGCGAGCGCTTTTGCCGACGAGCGCCTCCGCAGCGGACGGCGGGCCCTGGCCGGGCAAGGCTGGAGGCCTCCCAGGTGGGGTCGGGGTAGATGGGGTCGGAGGATCGCGCCGCATCGTCGACGTCGGCAACCGCACCGGGCGTCGTCGACGTGAAGCAGACCGAGCTCCACATCGAGTCCCATCGGCGGTGCATCGGCGACGCGGCGCGATCCTCCGAGTCCCTCTGCTCCGGCAGCACGGCCGCGTCCCTGAGGCCCCCCCCCTCCCCTGCGGCAGGCCGCCGGGACCCTGCCTCCGAGGCCGCCGCGGAGCAGCGCACACGCGCCGCCGGGGCTCCACCCGGGGGGCGACCGCACCAGGCGTCGTCGGCCGCGGCGCCCGGCGACGATCGGCTCGGGCGCTGCTTCGTGGGGGGGCGACAGGAGGGGGGGGGGGGGGGCGACCGCACCAGCTCCACTCTGGGGGCGACCGCACCAGCTCCACTCTGGGGGCGACCGCACCAGGCGTCGTCGGCCTCGGCGCTCGGCTCGGGCATTGCTTCCTGGGGGGGCAATAGGGGGGGGGGGCGAGGAGAGGAACGCGCATCTTTCGTGCCCCTTGTGGGCCCCAGAGGGCTCCTGTACAGGGCCCGAAGGTGCACACAGGGCGCACCTTCATTCGCACCCTCATTCCGGGGAGACGCGAGACTCGGGTCCGAGGGACGCGGTTTTGGTTTGGCGAGGCCGTCGAGACAGTTACGAGGCCCAGTCTGGAATTTGACGCGAGCTCCCGCTGCAAACATCCCACAAAGACTGGACCGCGGAAATCCAGGGCGGGCCCGTCAAAAAGTGTCGGCAAACCCGAGTTTCAACGAACTCGAGTCTGAAGTAGGGGAACAAACAATGACATAAACATGAAAACTCGGAGGTCCGCGCGGACTTCCCGGACTGGCGCTGGACCCCCCTTCCTGGCACGCTCCGTGCGCCAGGGGGCCCCAGCACTGATCCGAGGAATCCGCGCGGACCTCCGAGTTTTTATGCTTACGTCATTGCTTGTTCCCCCATTGCTCTCGAGCAGGGGGGTGACCACAGAATTGACTTACCCCCGAACTGTCTTTGTGGTCCAGCCTACGAAAAAGACGTCGAATGCTCCGCAGAAGTACAGAGCATTTGACGTCTTCCTCGCAAGCTCGGCAGAAAAGCCGTTCCGGGGCAGATCGAGTCTGCAGCCGATCCAGCCTGCGAAAGCGACGCCGAAGGCGCCGCACTCGACGCATTCTCTCTCCGCAGGCACGACGGCGCACGACTCTTTGAGGCAAATTCGACACTGCGGTCGACTCCCTCTTCGAACTACGCTTCCCCGACCCTGGCTCGCCCCCCCCCCCCCCCCCAGTGCGCCGCGCCCGAGAGGGCCGCGCCCGCGCCCTCGTCGCCGGGGGCGCGGGACGCTCCGCGCGGCGCGCGCGCCGCGCCGCCACGGGCCGCGCGGGCGCCGCGGGACGCTCCGCGGACGGGGCGCAGGCGGGGCGGAGGTGTCCACGTCCACTGCGGCTCGGAGCTTCGGGCTCCCTGCCCAGGAAGCCCGAGGCACTGGGCACGCACAGGAGTTTGGGCGCTCAGGGGCTCGATCTTTGTCCATATCCGGTGCGCCTCGGCCTTGTGGCGCCCCTTCCAAGGGGGAGGGGGAAGAGGAGGAGGAGGAGGAGGAAGAGGAGGAGGAGGAGGAGGAAGAGGAGGAGGATGAGGAGGAGGAGGAGGAGGAGAAGGAGAAGGGGGAGGAGGAGGAGGAGGAGGAGGAGGAGGAGGAGGAGGAGGAGGAGGAGGAGAAGAACCAATGTAAACCCAAGACTCATCAACGGTGTTGGAATATACCCTCCCTCCAAGCTCCCTCTTCAGAGGCCCTACAAGGGCTCATTTCTATTGAAGGAAGTGCTCCGTTGGGGGACAGACTTGTGAACATCCTGAAGCGTGCCAAAACACGGTTCTCAAGACTTCAGCTGACTGTTGCGTCTTGGCGATCCTGAATCGTGCCCCAAGACCATCCCTGGGATTTCAACCCACGAATCAACGTAACTATTGCGCCCTGACAATCTGGAACCGCTCCAGAACACAATCTCTGGTACGTTAGCCATGAGAGCCCGTGAAACTCTTTCACTTTTTGAACGTATGTGCGCGGCGTTCATGGCGAGAGCCACATTTTCTTAATCGAGCCGCCCTCAATCCTGGAACTCTTGTGAATGTGTAAAACGAATGCGCGCGGCGCTAAGGCGATAACCACATTTTGAAAACGGCCCGCCTTCAATCTGTGCAGCTCTTGCCATGTTTGTTGAACGAATGTGCGCCGCGCTGAGGCGAGAACCACATGTTGAAAACGGCCCACCCTCAATCCGTGAAGCTCCTGCAAGAGTTTGAGACGAATGTGCGCGGCGTCAGAGCGAGAGCCACACTTTGAAAACTACCCGCCCTCAATCTGGGAAATGGTTGACAACATCTAGGCTTCATAATCATAAATGGTGAAGAAGTCTCAGGCGAAACGCACAGCCCGCCCTTTCGACCGGCTTCGGGGTGCGACAAGGAGGAATTATCTATAAGGAAAAGGAACGGAGGAGGAGGCAGAGGAGGAGGAGGATGAGGAGGGGGGAGGAGAGAGTCCAAGACGCACTGGATCTGAATATCCGCCGGCCCCCTTGCGGGGCCATCAGGCTGCGAGGGTTAGGCTTGCTGCTCCCTGCGTCAGTTCCAGTTTCCAGCAGTGCCCTGCACCAGTTCCAGTCTCCAGCTTCCAATTTTACAAGCTTGCTTTATGCTTCCCACTGTAAGTTGTTACTGTCCGCGCGAGGGGGGGAGCCGAAAGCTGCCCTGGTGACCCTCCCCCAGGAGGGTTCTCAGAATTTCTGGGGGGGCCCTGGGCCGCGTGAAAATATGGGAAACTCGCGCCTCCGAGGCCACGATTCTTTGTAAATTACGCAGCATTCGCGCCCCTGGGGCCACGACCCCTTTCGAAAATCACAATATTCGCGTCCCTGGGGCCATAAACCTTCGTAAATTACGCGATGCTTGCGCCCCCCGAAGCCATAAGCGATTCTAAAAGTATGTAATTCTCGCGCCGCCGAGGCAATCAACTGTCGTAGATTACGCGATACTTGCGTCCTTAGGCCATACACCCTCGTACATTACACGATACTTGCGCCCCCCGAGGCCATAAGCCATTGTAAATTACACCACAACCGTTCCGTCCCCGAGGCCAGAAACCTTCGTCAATTACACAATGCTTGCGTTCCCGAGGCCATAACCCTTTTAAATGATTCAATTCTCGCGTCCCCGGAATTTTAAGATCGTAAATTATACAATGCGTCCGTCCCCGAGGCAACAAACCGTAGTAAATTACAAAATGCTTGAGTTCCTGAAGCCAGAAGCCTTCGTGACTTTCACAAGACTCGCGCCCCCGGGGCCAGGATTTCTCGTAAAGTACGGCGCGCTCGCGCCCCCGAGGCCTCAATCCCTTACAACAGGCGCCGAGGAGCCCGAAGACCGCCCCAGCCGCGCGAGTTTGCCCACTCTAGCAGCCCCCAGTCTTTCCAAGAGGGCCTCCAATGCACAGCATGCGGGAGCAAATCCAAAATGCAACACCAAATTCAACAAGGTCGTATGAATAGACATCTTTCTTGCCAATTACTTATCGACCTCGCATGAGGTTCCGACACTGTTTCAAGACGGCGCCCAGACCTCACGACGTAGCTCTTGCATGATCCATTATCCGAGAGAGGGGGCCGGCGGCAGGGGGCGAAGCCCTTACGGAAAAATCTCTGGCACCCCAGACGCCTTGCGGCGAGGCGCCGCTGCTGGAACGCATCCAGAGGGCGGGAAACAGCCGAGAAGCGACGGAAAACATAAAAAACAACCTCGAGCCCAAACGCTCCCAAACTCTCCCCCCTCTCGAACCCAAACACTCCCAAACGTTCCCCCCTCCCTGGCTCCAGATCCGCCGTACTCCAGGCGCCTCCCCGTGAGGAGGGCGGCAGTGTCCTGACTACCTACCAGACCACCCCAACCCGACCCGAAGACCCGAATTTCGGGTTGGGGGGGGTACGGGTTCCATATGTGTTTTCTCGAGGCTCCCCGACCCCCCCCCAACTGGAAATGGAGGGCAAATCGAGACCTTCGGGTTGGGTTGGGGTGGTTTGGTGGGCGGCAGTGTCCGCCCCACCCTTGCAAGACTCCTCCGGTGCCGCTCTCCGCCGTGTCCGCCCGACTCCTCCGCGGCGGACCTCTCCGCCCTGCAGTCGGGGCGTTGACCTACGGAACCCCGAAGAGGGAACGAGGCCCCTTTTTCCCCATAAATTCGACCTCGATCTCCCGTGGAAAACCCCAGGAAAGCCCGAGGCAAACTTTGAGACCTTCAAGGAACACCGAGCCCCTCCCCAACGAAAAGGGTTCCTTCTTCAGCGCCCCGACTGTACTTCGGGTGCGAGGTTTTCGCACTTTTTCGTCGCTTCTCGGCTGTTTCCCACCCTCTGGATGCGTTCCAGCAGCGCCGCCTCGCCGCAAGGCGCCTGGGGCGCGGAAACGCCCGCCCCGCGTTGTCGCACCGTTTCGGGGCGCGTGCCCGGCAGCAGCGCACATGGAACCATCCACCAGCAGACGGAGGATGCGGAGCGAGCCAGGGCCAGGTCTGCCTCGAGGCCCCGAGGGGCCCTCCCAGGGAGGGGCCTCGGGCGCGCCAGGAGCGCCTCCCTGCACGCCTGGGGGGGCTCCTTGGGCGCTCCGTGGGAGCCCCGCTGCAAGGCTCCCGAGGAGCCCCCCCCCCCCCCCCGACACCAAAACTCCACCGCCTCTCCTTGTGGATGCCACGACAGCGGGCACCCTAACAGTCCGATCATCGAAATGTAGAATGTGTTCAAAATGTCGGGAAACATGTCCTGCCAATGTTGAAAACATGTTTTTTTCTAATGCTTAAGATCAGTGTTAGCACATTCTCTAGACATCTGGAAATGATTTGGCAACACGCTTCATCTCCATTGATCGTCCTCCACACGCCTCTCCTGGAAGTCTTAAAAAAAGCCTGCCCTGTGTGCGCTCCCTCCGCCGACGATCCAACGGAGCAGCGACGAGAGGCCAGCGTCAGATCAGGTCCACGATGTCCGCTGTGGCGTAGTCCTGGCCCAGGCCGACCATCTGCTGCATCCTCGACAGCAGCCCGCGCTGGATGGAGCCGTTCAGGCACCGCTGCCGGACGAAGCTCTCCGCGGCGAGCTGGAGGTCCTCGGAGAAAGAGAAGAAGCCGATCTCGATACGTCCCCCTGAACAGTGTCCAGGTGCGGCCGTGTCTGGGAGGGCAATGGAATACCGATATCGCTACTTCCTGGGCCTCTCCCAGGGTGCGTTTTGACCAGGATCTCGAAGCGGTGGCGACGATATCGGTACCTCTTCCTCCTCTGAGTCCTGGCCCGACCAGGAATGCAGCGTCTCCCAGCACTGCTCGGGGGGGGGGGGGGGAACATCGACCCGAAATCGGCGATACATCGGCGACAGGCCCCCGATAGCGAAACCGCACGTTCCTTCCTGGGCAGGGTGGCCCATCGGCGATGGATGCGCGATCGGGCGGCGCTGCTCCCCTGAGCTCCTCCATCCCCCCCCCCCAGACGCTGCCCCCGGAGTCCTGGCCCGCCCCGAAGTGCAGCGTCTCCCAGCGGTGCTCGCCCGTCCGCACCCGCAGCACGCAGTCCGCCGCGGCCCCGCTGCACGGGGGCGACGGGGGCAGGGGCTGCGCGGGCGGCGGCGGCGCCGAGCTCGGCACGTCGTCGAAGCCTCGTGCGGGCACGGGGAGGAGCGGGTCTGGAGGGAGGCGGGGCCCTGGACCCCGCGGCGGCCCCCAGTGGGGGGGAAGGCCCTCCTGCACCAGCCGGCGGTGCTGCACCGCGTGGGCCGTGCCAGCACACCCCGGCATGCAGCCCACGTGGTTGCACGACAAGGACGTAGTGAAAAACTGTGTGCGCTGATCGGCGCGCGGATTCGGATACACACGAGTACGTTCTGGACCACCCGTTAGACCCTCGAGCCAAGACCAGCTCCCCAGACATCCAACGTGTTGAAACGATCAAGACGAATTTGTCCTGTCGTTTTCGGCATCTGGGGGCCCTCGCTGGGCCCCAGGACCGTCACAGGACGAACAAAGGGTCCCCCGAAGTGATCCAGAGCTCTAGGAGCTCCGTCTGAAAAGATCCAGACATCGGAAACATGGGTCGTCTTCCCGAGCCGCTCTGTGGACGGTCCCGTGGCCCCGGGAGCCCGGCAACGGCGAGCACAAACCTTCCGTGCAAGCATCCGATGGTCTGCCACCGTGCCTCTGCACGCCGAGGCGTGGAAGCACGCCGAGCGCTGCCCGGCAGGATATCTCTGCAGTCTTCTCCGGGACGCGCCCCCCCGTCTCGCCGCGCCCCGCTGCGTGCACCACCCCCACTCCTGTGTCACGCTGGGCGGCCAAGACGCCTCCCCGGCGCTCTCCAAGGCGTCCAACATGCCCAAGATGGCATCCCAAACTTACCTGGCAGGCCACCAAGGCCGCCAAGATGGTCCAAGAGGCCTTCAGGACGGCCTAAGGTGGCCTCGATGCGGCTGAAGAGGCTTCCAAGACGGCCCAAGATAGCTCCAATAGAGCCTCCAGCAAAACCCGAGGACGCCCAGATCACTGATTTTCCCAAGAACTGCTGGAGGAATGTTCGCGTCCTCGCTGTTTCGAGCTTTCGTCGGCTCAAGACAGCCCCAGAAGCCTCCACGTGGACCCTGAAAGCGCCCACACGGCCCAAGAGCGCCCTCAGACGGCCCAAGGAGCCTCCAAGAGCCCCCGAGGCGCCCCCCAGGCGCTGCTAAGGAACCCGCAGAGGCCCCAAAGAACCCCTCAAGAGCCCCCCCCCCAAACCTTCAAGAACCCCAACAAATGTCCCACTTCACGGCCTCCCGTGCCCCCTTCGCAGAGTCGCCGCCCGACATGCTGGACTGGCATGGTGGCGGGACTTGCCGCAGGCGGCGGGATCTGCTTTTGCAATCCGCGGCCCCGGGACGTCCCGACCCATTCCCCCGAGGCGCCGCCTAGCGCTGATCCAAGAAACCCGTGCGGAGCTCCAAAGATTAATCACTGTATGTGACTTCTTGAGCCTCTGATGAGGCAAGCGGGTCCTGAGGACCCCAATCTCCGACGACACGACTTTTCCGATCCAAGCGACTTGTTCCTCGATTTCGGGGCCCTGGGGCCCTTCACAACGGAACCCGGGGATGCGAGACCATCCAAAACGGATCTGTGACCAACAAGTGCACCCAGGGGGTACGTTGGGACGTCCCGGGCCGCGGAACTCAGAGAAAGTATGTTTATGCTCATGCTGTTCCCTGGAATCTGACGTGGTGGGAAAAGAACAGCCTCGTGAAGAATCACGGCCAAGCCCCTGGCCCCATCTTTGCGCGCCATCTTCGGAGCCGGACCGCTCTGTGAGGGCCCTCGGGTCCGCAGCGGGGCGAGAACCCCCGTTGCGGAGAAGCGGCGACGCCAGCCTCTCTCAATGTTGCACGGCGACAGGCAGGAGGTCCCAGAATTTTTTGCAGCGCAATCATAAGGAAGACTCCCACTTTCCCACTGCGTGCAAACGGCGCACCCCCAGTGAGACAGCGAGGCCCAGATCGGTTCCCGAGTGTGAGCATCGAATTGGACTGCGGAATCTGTCGGAACCAGATCGAAGCGAATTGCGTCCTGGCGGCGCGCAAAAGGGGGGCAGGGGGAGGGGGGAAGGCTTCTTCGAAGGCGGCTGCTTCTGAGAGAGCGCCAGCCCTGCATCTACAGACAAAGCCCGTGCTTTCTGAGAAGCAGGGGTGCTTCTGAGAAGCCTTCCCCCTCCCCCCTGCCCCCCCCCCTGCGCGTGACCGAGAGAAAGCCTCTGCTCCCGCTGTGGCGACGACGGAAAGTCGTCCGCCGAGAGGGTGGTGGCCAGAGGCAGGTGCTGGTGAGGGCCAGCGGCAGGGGCTTCAATCGGGTTGCTGAACTAAGGAACTCAAAGAACAAAAAGGAACGAAGCCCCTTTTTGGCCCCCGAAGCGCCTGCGTGCACGAGGAGGGCCAGAATAATGACCCAGGGAACAGCGAGCCCCTTCCGATCCCAAAGGGGTCCTCATTTCAGCGACTGGACTGTGTGGGGGGCCCCTCCTCCCCCTGCTCCTGCTCCTGCTCCTGCTCCTGCTCCTGTTCCTGCTCCTGCTCCTGCTCCTGCTCCTGCTCCTGCTCCTCCTCCTCCTCCTCCTCCTCCTCCTCCTCCTCCTCCTCCTCCTCCTCCTCCTGTTAACATGTGAGCATTCAGGTGACTGGGGAGTGAAGGTGTCCCCGTTATCGTTTGGCTCAAGTATTTAACGGCTGAAGCTACCGAGACTTGCTTCGCCGTGCTGAGGCAAAAAGGTGACCGATCGTCATCGCTGTCACCGAGCTCCCGTGCAGAACCCTCCTCGGGGTTTTGCATGGTAGCGGAGCGCGGTTGCCATGGCGGCGGCGGCGGCCGCTGCAGCTAGGCCCGCGCAGGGCGACCCGCCGGTCAACCTTAACGTGCTGGCGGACAGAGATGCATGGGTCAACATGGACCCTAACCGCTTCAACGACCTGTGCGAGCAGGCGTACCTGAACGGGGACTTCAATTACGTTCAGACGGCGTTACTTGCAAATCATTATGGACTTGCGACGTTCATTAACGAGCGAGTAACACAGGACCGAAGGGAAGTATCGAACGTTGAGGCATTTCAAATGCTACAGAGCGCTCAGAAGACCAACAGCATGTTGTTAGCGATAACGAAGAGAAACGCTGCGCTTGAAAGGGATGCTCGCAGATTGGTAGAAAGAGTTACCGAGTTGGAGACCAACAGCGAAGCACAAGAGAAGTTAATTGAAAAGTTTGGTCAGCTTTCGGAAGCAATCAAAGGCGGAAGCGGAGGTAAGCACGGGAGCGGTAAACCGATAAGCGAGTACAAAGCATTACAGGCGTTAAAGAACTTCAGTGGAGAAAGAGCAAAGTTCAGAGACTGGAGCGACAAATTCTTAAACGCGCTTGCCCAAGTAAAACCGAGTTACCGACCGGCACTGAAAATGTTGAACAAGAAGTTGGAGACACTTGACGGAGTTGTCCCAGAGGAAGATGATGATGATATCATACGCATAATGAACGGTCGGTTAACAGCAAGCGAATACTTAAAGGCAAACCAAGCTAAACAAGCAGAGGATGACAACAAAGGAGATTATGAGTTTACCGAGGGAGACAAAACTCAAATGGAGGAAGACTTATGGTACATCCTTAACGAAAAGCTTGAAGGTGCAGAAGCAAGGGGAAAATTAAAGGGACTCATGGATGGTGACGGAATTATGGCTTGGCAAAAGGTTTACAAATTGGTACTCGGCTGTTACCGGAGCGACCCTTTCCTCAAAGATGACGCACGCTATGAACCCTGAGCCGCCCAAGAAAATTACCGATACCGTTACCCGACTTGAGGAGTGGAGCGCGTTAGCGGAGAATCTTGAAAAGCATGGCAAAGATTACTCACTGCCCCTCCCCTTCAAGGTTACCGCGCTCAGGGCAATAATGGTGCATGCGAATGATTGGTTTGACGAGTGGCAGCAGGCGTGTTGGCGAACGCCTGACGCACTTAACATTGATTCGTTCCAAAAGCTATACTCCAAGTGTGAAGATTGGGCGCGTAAAAAGAAACTTGACTCAGACACCAAAAACAAAGATGCGATGGACATTGGAAATATTAACGAGACGAGTCAAGGGTCCGAAAATGTCTGGGATCAGACAAGATGGGTTGACGAAGATGGAAACTGGTGGCCAGAGGACGGATCTTGGAGTTACGGGTCCTGGGCTAATGAAAGTGAAACTGGAGATCATGAGGAAGTCGACGCCGTAAACAAGGGTAAAGGCAAAGGCCCAGGCCCCAAATGTTACAATTGCGGAGGCATGGGTCATTTAGCCAGGAACTGCACAAAGCCTAAACAGTTCACGAAAGGAGGCAAAGGTGGCAAAGGCGGCAAAGGCAAAGGTTACCGTGCCACCTATGGATCTTACATGAAAGGTAAGATTGGAGGTAAACAAGGTGGTAAAGGTGGCGGCTCGTGGGGTGGAAGTTACGGTGGCCAAGGAAGGTTTACCCCCCATAGCGAGCGTGAGTGTTACAAGTGTGGCGCTAAAGGGCACATTGCCGTTAACTGCCCAGGTCCCAAGAAGACCGCCAACGAAGTTGAGCAAGAGAGACCAACGGTAAACGCGGAAAGTGAACAAACCACCTCGTTTGGCCAACCGCAGCATGTGCTCAGTGTTGAGATGAATGATGAAGTGAACGTGCCACCGGAACCGCCCACGGCTGAGGAGATTAACGGACAATGGGCACTGCCCTCACATTCCAGAAAGAAAATGGCGCGTAAAATCGCAGTGGACCTGAGAAAAGCTTACCAGGAGCATCAGTGCAACGGGAACTGCAATCATGTAAATCAGTGGGGCCAGAGGATAAGTAGAAGCATAAAGCAGGAAAAGAGTTGGTTTGAGAAATGTGGAGAAATTGGGCTAATCGAAATGCGAGACTGTGACCCAGAAATTAACGCGGTGCCACCTCAGAGTACAACGCACGAAACAATCGTGGTTACCGTGGACTCTGGAGCGTACAACACGGTAGGACCCCCA